ATGCAAGGGCAGTTTAAAGAAGCCCAAAATATTGTTTCTTAATAATGTACCCAATTATGCTAGATGCTATTTACATCTCTTTTACAAAATGTATCAAGCATATGCCCTTAAAATATCTCTCGAACTGAACGAGATTTAATTCCCTCTTAAAATATTCCTTCAATCTTTGTAACATAGGTAATGTAATGGCTCTTTGCGAATTTAATAATAACTAAAAGTAACCGCTGGCATGAAATGCAGGAAAAAAAACAAATTGTTTGTAATGCAAGCTTTGAGAGTTTTTATTATAAGGGCAAACAGTTATTTATAGTTACTTTAAATTCCCTTATATGAAAAGCTTACTTTGTATAGGCAACCCAACTTACGCGGCACTCAAGTAAGTCTTAGAATACGACCAGTTTGTATCTTAATTACATCTCTGTAATTAGAAATACTTTTTAGAGTATTCTAAATTTTGAAACAAATAGTTATTTTATATTTTATTTTTCTAACAGTTGTAAAGATAAATATAATCGATTTTGATTCCTATGAGCGCACACGACAGATAGTCGGCAGCCGATTTTATCAGCGAAAGTAATAATTGTACTGTTAATGAAAATGGTCAGAGACGTTTTATGGTGTTTATTTACCTAAAAGCTTAGTCGACTGTCTATAGTTTCTATTGCTACAAAAGAGGTTGGAAGCCGTAAAAGGAACAAAGATTTAGCAGCTGGTGAAAACTGAAGTGGTCATACATATTTTTATAAAGAAGCATGGGACCCATAATGTTTATTAGGAGATGGTTTATAGGCCCGTGATGAAAAAATTTAGAACGAAATTCGCAAAATAAGAAATAGAAATAAAGGGTACCAAACCTGTCTTCTCGAAGAGTTGCACGTATATGTGTGCTTTTATTTTATTTATTTTTATTTTTTTTGTAAAATTCTTCAGACATCTATTTAAATTTTAATTTAATATTAAGATTCCTTCCTAATGTTGCGACTTTAAGAAAAATTAAAATATTTTGAAAAACAAGAAAGCAAATATTTGTATCTATCAATTAATTATGAAAAAAATATATATATTTGCCATCCTTTCCGAGATCTCAGGGTTGAACACCCCTAATCTAATTAATTATTTCGCAAATTTCACTTGAAATTTTTTCATCACAAACATTCTCTTTATGGGTCTAGAAATAATCATTACTGATAGGATTGGCACTTGTATAAGTCATGTCTTTTGTCTCTCCTTACATTGCTAGTGCTAGTAAATATAAACTGTTTTCTCAGCTAATGTGATATTGTGTTACCAAGAGAGAACAAAATTAAAAGTTAAAAAGTCTTGCAGTTATTCTACTTATTGGCCTCATACTGTATTTTTTATATTTAATTTCATTCATATTTTGTATCTATATTTTAAATTCTTAGTTATGCTACAGTTATCCGTTTTTTTAAAGGATAAATCCCAGAAGTTACTACTTTTAGTTACAAATGATTATTCTGTTTCACAAAAAAGTTAAAACAAATTTCCTTCAAAATCTCCACCGTGAACAGTTACTAATCAAAACGTTGATATTGTTAAGGGTTTTTATCTCCGCTCAGGATCATCTCTAATATTAACGTACAAAAGACGCTTGGGAATGACTTTAATTGTAACTAGGAAACGTTTTCAGGAAAATCCGCTTGGACGCTTTTATAAAGAAGGGTCGCGATTGCAATCTAAACCACTTAACGACCACGCAAAAGTTATCCAGATAAGTACCCATTTATAACTATTCCTAAAGATCACAATATTATTTTCTTGTTATAGCATCTCTATATTTGCCTACCGTTTAAGGTTAAATCTAAAAATAAAGCAAAACTTACATATTTTTCTTTGTTTATAATAGGTACCTATTAATTATAAATATTATTATTAAACCAATGCAAAATGGACGAAAAATATGTCCGTATGTACAAGTAGGTATGTATGTAGTATCACTTAATTTTCCAAAACATATCGAAAAATATTAGAGTTGGTTGAAATCACCTACCGTAAAGCCCACTTATATTTCATATTTTCTTATAAATGACAATAGAAAACCTGCAATTTTAAATTAAGAACTATTTAACTATCTTTTGCTTAAAGGAACCTTTGAATATGTAGTCGCAATTAGAGAATTTTTTTTTTTAGTTATTACATCATTCTATACAAATATCCTTACCTCTTTCAAGCATTAAAAAATAATACTGTTTTTATTAAAGATATATGGTTCTAAAGACGAAAAAACCTGTTTGATTTGATTTATGGACGAAGGTCGAACACATATTTCCTTTCCACATTTGAAAAATATCAAAAGGTACTATAAATTGTCCAGCAACGATATTAAGAGCGTAAAATTTCCCAACTAAACTTTAGAACTGTGTTTACTCATAACAAATTATAAATACAAATACTTAGATATCGTTTTATTATAAATCACCACTATGCAAAATTTACCAGAAAATGTGTAATTTATTATTATTTTCATGTTTATATACTCATGCATGGTTTTGCTATTTTATTCATCTGAAATCTTACTAATATGTTATTTTGAATACTGACTGATGATTAGTTAATTGGAATTAATTAATCTCAGACAAAATAAAGGTCAGCTATTATTGACAAAAAGTATTTATGCAATAGCTGATATTTTATTATTAACCTCAGATCTTCTTAATCTCTCTTAAAACTGGCAATTTGGCATTTAAAATGACTGGGATTAGCTAAAATGCTAGATAAAAATGTAAACTTTCTGTATATAGTTAATCAATTAACACAAATATCAACACAAAATTAAAACAATTTAATAATTAATAGATATTCTGTAATATCAATCTTATACCTGTTTGATTTACAAATTACACTTCATCAAATACTATTCAGATAGGTAGGTATTTACCTACCTCGGTATTTAGTTAGCTACTACGAGTATATTAGGCTTTATTACACAATAATAATTTTGAAAAATGCCTTTTAAATTTACAAAATAATTTTATTTCGTTATACCTTATTGCAAATTACTTTAATTACTTATGATTAGGTATTTAATTTGCACCTTCATTTATATTTAATAAGCACATTCCACTTAAAATTCAATAAGTAGAAGATAATGCTGATGTGAAAAAATATTTCGCAGTTTAATTATTATTTAAAAATCTACAGGTAAATCTTGGTACATGAAATACCTAGATACCTATATTCTACTTGCAAAAGAGCAATAACGTAGGTATTTAGACATAGTAATCAAGTATTCTTTGGTTGTGTCCATATACAACAAACCACACCCATTACATGAACCTTACAAAATCGGAAAACTATTCAACAGTGTTATAAAGGGAAACTTTGTACAATAGGAAGAACTGAAAAACCAGTCGATAATGGAGCAGTTCACGGCACTGGCAGCACATGTTAGCCGTGTGACCAGGTGCACACCTGTTACTCCTGTTACTCTTCACAGAGCATTATTATAACTCATTTATTTAACAATAGGAGCGTGCAGAAAACATTAAAAATGTTATAAACATTCAGTAGGACGGCTTTTAAAATTTAATTAGGTACTGAAATCAGGCACAATAAACAGCACAATTAAAATAAATCAATTCATTATCACAAAATTTTATTAAAAAAATAAGTTGATACAATTAACTGTTACATCTACTACTCAAATATAAAAAATAAACAAAATGCAACGATGATACAGATAAAAATAAATGGGTCATAATGAAATTGACAATAAGCATTTGATAGCGTGCTAAAGCGATCTTAATGCAGAATCGTGCTTATCTTATATTTCGACAACGGAAAGCTTTCATCTGAAACATATTTTCAATAAAGTGCACCACGCCTACTTGAAATTAAACCGTTTTCAAAATAAACAAAACACGCATGCTATCTCTCAGGACTGCACATAGATGATCGAGCTTTCATCGAAATTCACACACATACCGAACTATTTATTTCGCGACTTGTAGACAAACGCCTGTGAAAAGATTTGGCCGGTTCCGTTTCCCCATCACTTTCCGAAGAATCCTCACCCGTGGGTGATGGACCACCCATATTTTTAGCACTCTCGCTACCCGACGCCATACTATAATGCCGACATTTTCATTTTTTTCTACTTTATTTATAAACAGGAGCAGCATTTACTTCTGTACGTACACCACAGATGGAGCCAATAGTCTCACACTTTCCCGGTCACTGGCACAAGTGTTGCCATATTTTCGCTGCTATAAAATTGTATTAAAATAAACATGCTCACCTACATAGGTATATAACAAATTAAAAAGAATTACTGCATTTCCAGATTTATTACAGTATTTTATATATTATTTGCTGTTCATTGAACAATGAAAATTATTATTTTTTATACAATTTTAACATAAATAACAAATTTAAAAAAAAATAAGTAAATACTCAATTAAAACTTCTTCCAAGTTCAGAATAAGTATTAACTAATGCAGTAGAGATAACATTGATATCATGTATTTTAAAATCTTAATCTATAATAGAAATTATATCAATTTTCAATTAATAGAAAATATAAACAAAACTCATCCCTAGGCATAATATTAAGCTAATTTATGTGGCAACGATGGTTATATGTTTATATCAGTTACGGCACGATAGCTACAGATACAGTGCCACAACCACACCACACGTATAGTCCAGTACAATCGCTGTTAAATTTTCTGTGCAAAATAAAATTTTCAAAATGATATTGTCAACAGTTGTTTTTTTTTTGTTAACTTCCAAAATAATAACAATCGTGCAATGATTAACGATGACATTTTTTATTTAGAATAATTTTAAAAAATAATGAAACCATCTATCCTGAAAACTGACGTGTTTTGGTCAGCAGCTGATTCCTAATCTATACTTGCTCTATTGTCAAGTCAAGGACTCTAAAAAATCCTTACTCTGTTCTGTCTGTTCTACTCTAGTATGTTCTGTGAGATTCATTGGTCAATGGTTTAACAACCGTCTCGTCCGTGTATTGTATTGGTTAAAAAAGATAAATTGTCGACAAATACCATTACTTATACTTACCATTCTTGATGTATGTTTTGTGTACTTTTTGGTATCTATAAGTATTTGAGTTTGATCTAATATTCACATATTCTGAATTGTTTTATTAATTAAAAAATTTAAACAAACAAACCCATAAATGTTCGAATAAACTATTGCAAAATGAGTTTCTCAAGTGATGAAGTAAATTTTTTAGTTTATAGATATTTGCAGGAATCAGGTAAAAACTACAGTCTTATTTACTTGAAAAATTCTGAGTATTACTTTTTCAGGTTTTCAACATTCTGCTTATACATTTGGCATTGAATCACATATATCACAGTCAAATATCAATGGGGCCCTCGTTCCTCCAGCGGCATTGCTGAGCATATTACAAAAAGGACTGCAATATACAGAAGCCGAAATCAGTATTGGGGAAGATGGTACAGAACAAAGGTTGGTGGAAAGTTTAAGTTTAATTGATGCTGTTATGCCAGATGTTGTGGCAAGTAGACAAAATCAGCAAAATCAACAAAAAGCTATTAAAGCAGAAGCTTCAGAGGGCAATGGTGAAGAAAGTAATACTAGTAAGTTGCATTTTTCCTTTACTTATTTATACTTTTCCTGATAAGTATTAAGAGTATGATTAACACCAAAATTATAGACATTTGTAGTGCATAATATAATAAAGCAACAGATTGTTGACTCAATAAACATTGCCAATGTATTAATTTTTAAATACAATTGCCATAATGTAATGGACAGAGAGTGCATAACATCACTAGTTTTCGAGATATAAGTTGATATTTAAAAAACTATCACATTTACTCAATTATTTCTGAAACTATTTGATTTGGCATATAAAACCTGGGCTAAAAATATTAATTAAATGTACATATTTACTAATAAAACAGTAGTAGGAAACTGGAAAGCATCTCTGAAATTCCGAGGACATTGAGTATATTGGAAAGAGCTACCGAAATTTTCGCCCCTTTGTGAGACCTCATAAATTTACTCCAAATGTGTGCCAAAAGATAGTCTATGATGAGACTTGAGTTGTATATAAGTTTTAGCTTGAGGCTGCATTTTGTTTTCAAGTTACGGTTGATTAAAGTTGTCATTTTTACATGGATTGTTATAGGGTTTTCAAAGTCGCTGATTTAAACTCAAAGGTTCGTTAATCTCTATGACTTCAGATTCTGGTAAAGGTCTTCAGAAACCTTTCCCAGAAAGGTTGACGAAATCATTGATTTAAAATCAAAGGTTCGTTAATCTCTATGACTACAGGTCATTTGGAAGTCAAAGAATTAATCTTGAACTGTTAGTTTACTATGTTATATCAGCAAGATATATCGCCAATTTGAAGGAAGTATGTAAGTCTCTAATTTCAATTTAGTAGTTGGTTGACCTGTATCACGTCAGATTCAAGCTCAATTGGGATTAATAACGAAACCATGAAAAAAAATCACAATGTATTAATCACAAATTCCTAACCTATCTTCGAAATTCTTCATTTTTCTGAAGCTTTTCAGTCATTTCATGAAGACCGAAGGGTGATAAAGCAATTCTAATAGCAAATTCGTGCTCAGCGCTAAAAAGTACTTCGGAATACATATGCCACGTGAAGTACAAGCGATTTTTTTTTAGCGGTGTAACCTCGATCCAACAATCCATGTAAAAATGACAACTTCAATCAACCGAAACTCGAAAACGAAATGTAGCCTCAAGCTAAAACTTATAGACGATTCAACTCTCATCATAGACTATCTTTTGGCACCCATTTGGAGTAAATTTACGAGGTCTCACAAAGGGGCGAAAAATTAGGCTTTTTTTCGGTCGCTCTTTGATTGATGTATTTATTTCCTAACAATCTCTAATAGGAAAAAAAATCAGTTCTAATTTTGTAGAAATAATAGTTTATCATTGCATTTTTTTATTCAAAATTTCAATTCTTATTTTTCTAAAATAACATTTTTTATGTTCAGCTGTAGTATCCAGCCAAAATGAAATAATGGAAGTGGACTCCACCATAGAGATCCCATCTTCCAAAGCCACGGTACTTCGCGGTCATGAATCTGAAGTATTTATCTGCGCCTGGAATCCAACAACTGACCTTCTTGCCAGTGGATCAGGAGACAGTACAGCTCGAATTTGGGACATGTCTGATAATACCGCCAGTCCAAACCAGTTAGTGCTTCGACATTGTATTCAAAAGGGAGGCACTGAAGTTCCAAGCAATAAAGACGTTACATCTCTCGATTGGAATGTATGTCCTCTGTTTTATTTTGAATATATAACCAACGTACAAAAAAATTGTTTATAGTGTGATGGAAGTTTACTTGCAACAGGCAGCTACGATGGATATGCTCGAATTTGGACGACCGATGGACGGTTGGCCAGCACATTAGGTCAACATAAGGGGCCTATATTTGCTCTTAAATGGAACAGGAGAGGCAACTATATACTTTCAGCGGGAGTAAGTAGATTCATTTATAGAACGTATAAAACTATTAAGTCAGCTTCAAGAGATTTTGAAACCTACCGTGAACAGAATAGTAACTCATATCTTCAAAATTTTAGAGAAATTAATTTCAAACTTTAAAGGATTATAGAAATTCTTTTATTAAAGATAATCATATTTTTTTTCAGTTTGGCTTGTTTTTGGCCATGTCATCAAATGTGAAAACATGTTAAAAATTGTGGTAGTAGTTTTAGAAAAATAAAGTAAGTTTCTATAGTCTTCATGTAAAGAAATGTCGCTTTACAAAAATATACTAAAAAAATCATCAGAATCATATTACAAAAATAGTGCAAATAATGCTTAATGAAAAATAAAATAAAAAAATGTAATGGAATAATGTTTTATAAAATACAATACTGGCAAGTTACAAAAATAATCAGGGTCAGCATCTACTGTTTTGTCAGTTTTGAACTACTGTTGAATTTCCTTTTAAAAACAACAGTCCATATAACTTCGTTATCAATGGAGTGCGTGCTATTGTGTAGTCTTGGATTAATGACAGATTCTTCGCCCACATTTTGTTTTCTGCAATTTCAGTATAATACATTCTTATATTCTGTCAAAATAATTTACGGAAGTTGTCATTTTAATGGAAAGTTGGTAGCACTGTACTCTACTCTGACGCGAAGTTTGAATACGATCTTTTAAGTAGTTTGTTAATTTTGTTAGTACACCTAAAGTGTGTTCTGCAATTTTTTCTATGTAAAGGTACGTACACATTTGCGCTCCGAGCAACCCATGTGGTGTGCGCGCCGCATGTTCGTTGCTCGTCCAATGTTCGTTTGAACTATTCATTTCGAAGAACCTTCCACGATCCAAAGAAAACCCACAAACATTTTAGTAGACATTTTGCACTGTAGAATAAATGATCATGTCTCTGTCGCGAGATAAAAATTACACCATTTCGGTGATGAGTGGTGCTTTTTTGTTAATGGCAAGTTTGTGCAAAAAGAAAAGGAAACAGTGACGTTGGTGGCACACTATCCTGTTAAAAAAACGGAATGGTACTGAGATTATGATGAACTTGAAGTCGCAAGCAATAAGCGGTCAATATAAGAATTTTACTGGAATGTCACCGTCTGACTTTGAGAATCTATGGTTTCTTAAAATAATATTTATGTTGAGGATCCTACAGACTCGAGGTGGATCGTGATGCACCGTGTGCGCGCGGTTCGTGCACAACTCAAAAACCCCGTATTAATCTAGAGAACTTGCTGCAAACGCGCGGCGCGCGCTCGGAAGGGAGCGCAGGTGCATACACACCTTAACGTTATTGAATAAAGAGTTTACCCAAAATTTTGTGGTATCAATGGAATTTCTTGTGCCTGATCATTGAAGATGTTGGATTTTGCACCATGATAATGCACCATCACAAAAATTGATAATTATTGTGAATGAATTTTTGACCAAAACCCAACAAATGTCATTGAGCAGCCACTGTATTCACCAGACATGGCCACTGCTGGCTTTTCCTCTTTCACAAATTCAAATTACCACTTGATGGAACACATTTTGAGTCAATAGAAATAAAGATATCACTGAAGGAGTTGGAAATCTATTATCTGAAAATGTATTTAAAAAGTACATTGGCGATTGAATTGTTCTTTGGAAAAAGTGTGCTTCAAATGGAATCTATTTTGGAGACAAACTAAATTTTGATGATTAATTAAATATATTGTGTTTTATCGACAAATTCTGGATACTTTTTTAACAGAATGTATGTATATCTATATTCAGATATTATTTTCATAATGTTAGGCTGGGAAAAGTTAATATTTACTTACTAGAGTTTACTCCATGATACTTTTTTACAATAGAATTTCAATGAGAAAATCTATTTGATTTGTTTCATTCTAATTCCTTATCACCCGTTTCATATCCATAACATATACTAGATATGTCCTTATTTTTGTTAAAAAAGCTTAGATTGAATTCATTATTAAATATATTCCGATATTGCCTGTTGATTTCAATTTCGAATGCATTATTCTTATTTCATCTATTTTAGGTATAGGCAGTACCAGTACAGTTTTCGCAAATTTAAACCGTAGTCAAGGTACATATAACTAGAATCTTTTCTAGTGTAATGAGATAGGATGACAGGAAAAAGTTTTAGGTGCATCCTTACTGTATCGATATTTTCTATGGCCTGTTTTCGTGCTTACCTCTTATCTGAAATAATGTATTATCGTTTTTAAAAGTGGCAGTGACCCACTTTTCAAAATGCCTAACATTTGTGAAAACATTTGCTTATTAATACACTTCATGGCACCAACTACATGAAATTAATTTTCTCCAAATTAATTTCGTTACAATGGCACCCTATAATTTGTTTCTTTTCATCTTGCTTCATGCATCATGCTATAAAGTCCCATTAACAAATGTGGTTCCCCAAAATCCCTTTAAAATATTTTGTCTCATTCTTCCTGATGACTTTGGTGTTTTTCCTTGGTTTCCCGTTTTTCATCTTTTTTTTCTCATTACCCGTTTCTATGTGCTTAACCCTAACTCAAATTAAAGTGTTTTTTAATTTATCTGCCCAATTTTCCTTATTACTCTTTTTTCTACAAGTTGGCCATCAGCAGCTCTTGACTTAGTAGGAACATTTAAAGTGATAGCTACGGTTTTAAAAACGTAATATAAAATAAGTTTGTGATATTTAGTTCGTACACTCCAAATGAATATTGTTGTTGTTTTATAATAGCTGTAATATATTTTCGATAAAGCATTTCACAGAAGTTTAAATCTGATTCTGAATTGTAACAAATTCTACTCCAAAAGTGTTTATTTTTATTGTATTTGCAGTTAAAACATAAGTTAAATATATTACATTTGTCACAACTTGCTTACTTACCTGAAATGGCTTTATTTTCGAATTTTAATTTAATATTTCCTCACTGCAACTTGCAATAGTGCTTAAAGCTAACTAATATTCCTTGGATACTCTTTGACTTATTTGTAAAGTTAAATAATTATTATATAAAGCATGTTACAATGCAATTCGGAAGAAATATATTTTAGGAAAGGAAAATTTAAATTCAGTTACGATAGTTCTTTAGGGAAACATGAAAAATATGACATACTATATTTGTAATTATAACAAAACTAATTAGTGTCAGAACAATAATATATACCTCATATTTCCTTTCAGAATGCTTCTTCAATATTAATTTTTTCAAATTAATCTCTGTATTAGGTTGACAAAACAACTATAATATGGGATGCTGCAAGTGGGCAATGTACTCAGCAGTTCAGTTTTCATTCTGCTCCAGCATTAGATGTTGACTGGCAGACGAACACATCTTTTGCTAGTTGTTCCACGGATCAATGCATACACGTTTGTAAATTATCCATGGATAAACCTATCAAATCCTTCCAGGGCCATACGGTATGTAAAATTTGAGAATGTATACTGTTTTTTTTCTATCTAGATCAAAATATTTATTCTTGCAAAGTGACGGAATCAAGTTTAGTTCAAGACTTCCATTTTTATTATTGTCTATTTACCTTAGGGCTTTTTGCAAATTGTGATCGGATTAACCATATTATTAGGATCAGTTCAGAAAGGGAACTGAAGAGACTTAAAAATTATTCGAAAAGTGATCGAGTTAATCACATTTTGATCACACGATCAATCAATCAAGTGGATCAGCTATTTTACCAAACCTTACAATTTACACAGTTTGTTGATTCAATCAGAGTTCATGCATTGTTCTGTGTTAGATCATAGAATAACACACTAAAAATGTATGCTCGACTTCGGACATTTTGCCCTGCTCGGTTCAGAAGCAGTTACCCGTACTCAGATACATCCTTAAAATGGAAAAACTGCTGTTAGTGAACAGCTTGATCTAAGATTATAGTTTCTGAAATTCCCTCTTGATATTGATTGTGATTCTGAATACAGCTTATTAACCTTTGTAAATCATAAAATAAGTTCACAATCAAAATGGATAAAGTTGTCACAAAAATAAAAAAAATAATATGTTTAAGAGCTCTTTCTGGAAATAACATCACACCAAAATTTACAAACCATTAAAAATAGACCCCAATTTCAAAGCGAATTTCCTCCTGAATAGCTAATCTCATTGTGATGATTTTTTTATATTGGATTTATTCCATAGTAATGACACTAAGGTAGAAATTTTTAATGAAATTTCGTTTTCAGTGGTACACAGGGTGGTTCCCCCAAAATTGCGAACACTGCCTCATCTTTTTCTGTTTTTCGTCTCTGTTATTAATTTATACTAATTTATTCTCAACATTTAAAAAGTTGAACATAGCAGTAATAATAAAATAATTAGTGACAAGACTGCATAGCGCTATTGCAGTATAAAAATACAGTAGAACCTCGATTACCTGTATGCGAGTTTTACTTCCATCAGCTGGGAATTTGTTTTCAAGTGTTTTTATAATTTTTTTTTTAATTCGGAGATGTAACTACCACACGCAGCTAATATGCTAGGTGAATTTATATTTGTTAATTTTTGCCTGTTTAAGATGTGTTTTTCCCTTGCGTTATCGATTAAGGAGGTATATCGGGGTCCGAGTTAAGTGAGGAGCGCAGGGGGGTCCTATGCTTTTCTTATGGGTCTAAGACCTGCTGCCAATTTGAAAAAATTGAATTCTACTGAAATTATTTGCGATAAACATTATCTGCATAGCAAAGAAATCTACTCATATACACATAGCATACATATTGACTAATTAACAACATAAAAATATCATATTTAAGTAGTTTTAAATCATATTTAATGAACGAATAAAGACTATGTAGATGTGGCAACAGCGCTAATAATTGACTAGCAGTTGTACACACTGCGAACCTACAGACCTTGGACTTCGGAGATATTGCGTGTCAAATTCGGGTAAAGATGTGTACGCGTTCAAAAATTTATTGTGTGTAAACTATGTACAATATAATTATTATATATAAGATTTGTATCCTTTATTTAAAATCCATAAATCATGTGAACTGGTAAAACAACGAGAATTTAGTTCTAAAGAAATGAAATGACACTCACGCCCATCTCTCGTCCAAGTCAAAGAAAATGTTGAATGCAATTTTGAAGGTTCTGTGATAGAAATTACATTAATAATAATAAATTGCCTTTATTGAATCCTCATATGTAAATACATTAATTGAGCAGTTGTGGATAATTTATTGTTGATAACAATATACATGGGATTTAGGAAAAATGTATATGTTTGAAATCAATTTCGTTTTTATCAAGTCTTTCAAATGTATTCCCTCCTTGCTGTCAGCTGATTGCGATGTTGCCACATTAATCCTCAAGTCAGACATAAATGCAATTATTGGTTTCTGTTTCTAATTAATGCAGCTGTACTATGTTCAAAACTTACATTAGTTTTACATCAAAAATAAGATAATACTGTTTCACAATTTCTACGTTTTTTCTGTTATGGGCAAAAAAAAAGCCGCACCGTCCATCTTCGCCATATAAACCTATGTTAAAATGAACAAACAACAATATCTCAAAATCTAAATTCAAAAAAAATTTCAAAAAAATATGACGCACAGAGGGAGCACTGGCTAATACGCTATATAAATTTCAAGTACATCTGTGCATTTGAGTAAATCCGATATACCTCCTTAATATACTACATATTACAAAATTTAAGTTGTATCCGGACACATTCGTGTATGTATAATAATAATAATAATAATAATAATTAAAAATTTCTAAGTTTACTTTATCGGTATTTACGTCAGCTCGCAAGTCTTTACGTATATGTAAAACAAAAATGAGGATACTTAAGGTAGTTATCACTTAAATGGACACTATTTGAAATAATTACAAAACTTTCAGTATAATTAGTTATGCATTCAACACCCGAGTTAGAAAGACATTGACGAGGGAGCGTTCATTATGTGTTTTTCTACCTCGGGTGTCGAATACGGTAAAATCGAAGAAAGTGATGTACATGTCTTCTTGGAATTCTATCTCAACAAGTATCATAGGGACTGTATCTGTTGTTGAGTGAAACTTAAAAGATATGTTTTAACCATTTAACAAATATTGGAAATTTTAACCAAATTATTTTGTATGTATATATGAATGTACATACAAAATAAATATTCTTCCAGTTTATCATAGGCGGGATTTCACCCAAATCATTAAGGGGGCAAAGATCTCTCACCTTAGCCTTAACTAAGAATCTTTGATCTGCCTCTATTGTTCTCAGACTAGGCTATATGGGGGCAAACACGCATTTAAAACCACTAGACCTGCCCTGACGTTCATTTCGGTTCTTATTGGGTCTAAAGCTGCTACGGATGGAACTGCTCCTGCTCATTCAATTATCTGTGACGTCCAGTCCCAAAAGGCACAAATAATTGAGGTTCTACTTAACCTATGTGATTCTGAGCTAATTTTTCAAGAATAATTGTATCAAAATATAAAAGATAATGGAAAAAAAAGCTAACCTCTTAATTTATATAAATATTTATGACTAGAGAGCGGACAATGTGTGACTTTAACCCGAAGAATAGGTCAAATTTTGGTAGAGATGTGTACGCGTTCAAAAATGTATTGTGTATAAACTATGCAAAATATAATTATTATGTATAGCAAATATATCGTATTATCCTCGCGAAGATTTGTACCCTTTATTTAAAATCCATAAATCATGTGAACTGGTTAAATAACAAGAAAATAATTAAGTTAATTTAGTTCTAAAGAAATGAAATGACACTCGTGCCCATCTCTAGTCCATCCATCGACATCGGTTGCGTTTATCGAATTCCTATTGGTCAGAATCCAAACTGCAGCCCTGTTATGAATGGAGCGTGAGTTGGACTATTCTATCATGTGCGTCGTCTGAGGATATTCGTTACATTGACTCCAAATTTCCAATTAAAAGAACGACACTATTTTTAACCGAACTTTATTTAATAAATATGTAGTATACAATTTCAGATTTTCTAAATATTTTATAACGCCTAAAAATGTATGTACCTTGGAATTTTCGTGAATTATCACGTACATTTCCGATGCATACCCGACACGCCACTGCGTCATGGGTAATGTATCTAGGTTTATGAATGACATATCTATGTTCAAGGTTAAAGTCACAAATTGTCCGCTCTCTGTTTATGACATTTTCCCAAAATTATTTCTGTGGCAATTACATATGAGGTTATATTTCTTCTATGAAATTCATTATAAAATTTTTCACAGAGATGTATTTGAGTCACTTAAGATTGCTTTTCTGTTATCAAGATGTTAAAAAATGTTACTCATATACTAGAAAATCTACTTTGAAATTGATGTTTAATGGTTCATTAATTTTTAATTTTTATGGGAAATATATACCTATAAATTTTTTAATATTAATATTTAAAATGTTTTTTTAGAATGAAGTAAATGCAATAAAATGGGATCCACAAGGTCAGTTACTGGCATCTTGCTCTGATGATATGACTCTGAAAATATGGTCTATGAAACACGATACTTGCGTTCACGACTTACAAGCCCATTCTAAAGAAATATACACTATAAAGTGGTCACCGACAGGGCCCGGCACACAGAATCCTAATATGAATTTGATACTGGCTTCGGCCAGTTTTGATTCTACTGTAAGACTGTGGGATGTGGAAAGGGGTGCATGTATTCACACTCTAACTAAACATACCGAGCCCGTTTATTCAGTAGCATTCAGCCCAGACGGAAAATTCCTGGCCAGCGGCAGTTTTGATAAGTGTGTTCATATTTGGTCCACGCAATCTGGGCAGCTGGTTCATAGCTACAAGGGAACTGGTGGCATATTTGAAGTGTGTTGGAATTCTAGAGGTGATAAAGTCGGTGCCAGTGCCTCTGATGGTAGTGTTTTTGTTCTAGATTTACGCAAATTATAAATATTTTAATCGTGTAGATACATTTTTATATATTTTTTAATTGCCTACCTGAAATAAGTAAGACCTATTTAATAGTATTCTATTTTGTTAAGTCTGACCTACATTTTATTTTAGTGTACGACTGTATGACATATTATTCTATTCTTATTTTCCTGTATCGAGATATTGATTATGAAATATATATTTATTTGCATTCAGATTTTATTTTTACATATTTTTTTCATAAATAAATGCAGTGTTCACATTCAAATGAATTTAAAAGATTGAAAAAAAAATGATTATTAACTAAAAACGCTTACCTGATGCTGAACTTGTGAAATAATGTTACTATTTAAAAAAATGTATAGTAATCCCTCGTTATACGCGGTTTTGCCTATCCGCGGTTTCGCTTTTCCACGATTTCACGCTAGGAGGCGCTTACGCGGGTCGCGTCCTCTGCGTCATCGTCGGTAGCCTGTCGAAACGTGTTTGTTGCGTCGGACGTCCAGAATGCTGTCGGTAGATTTACTTATTAAATCGCAGAGTTTGTTTTAAAGTTACGGAATGTCTGGATGTGGTAGTAAAGAGTTTGTTAAAAGAAAAAGATGTGTTATGATATTTGAGAAGAAGATTCAACTATTAGACTGTTTAGCTGCAGGTGAATCTTATGCAAGTGCGGCTAAGAAATTTAATTTGTAATCTACCGAGTCATTTTCAAAAGACTACAAGATGTGCATGAACACTTGTGGAATCAGTCGATGATGATTGCCTGATTACATAAGTGATGAGATTTTGTTAAATGGATCAACTTTTATCTATATGTTTAAACATAGACTTATAAATCTACCACTTTTTAATTAATACAAAACCATGGGTTTGTTTTTACTCCAAGGGAGAACAGTTCATATTAGTTGACCATTAATTTCATTCATATCAGCATCTTAGTGAAGACATATACAATATGATTGGGTAACAAATTCTGAACTGTTCTACAACTGTTCACTGACCAAAACGTGTCATAGTTCCAATTGGTCCATCAATGATTTGATCAATGAATATTTACAAGTAACAGGTGTAACTGATTGCTACACCTAATGGTCAAAGCTACTAACTGCATAAGATCTACAAGAGGCGAAAATATAGTTGACAGCAACCTGAATTGCAAGTTTTAGGTAATGATATTAAAGGAAGTTACTCTTCGGCCAACTAGCATTGGATTACACCAACAATATCATTAAATACAGCTAGAATCATTTGTCTGTCAAACACAACAGACATACACCAGGGGGTTTACAGTCTGTAGTCAAAATTTATTTATTTTTAAAATGTGTTTCTGTACATTTGATCAACATAACAAAAATTGTCTTGTCTGAACTAAAATACACTAAATACATATTAAATTAATCTTTTATCCGGATTTTCTATTACGTAGATCGACGTTGGTTTCACCTAGTTCGGATAATCGAGTTTATATTTCATTTCTAATTTATATTTTAGATAACTATTAATTACTATCTATTTACAAGATATTACTGATATAATTCAGTGCTGTCTGGAGCATGTAGCCTGCTAGGTAGTTGTTTGCCGCCATATCAGTTAAGTTGTTTGTAACGTTTCTTAATTTTTTTCTTTATATGTAGATTGTTGGTATCAAAGAACATTATTTGATAAAATTTTTAGATAAAATGTTTGAATTAATTTGAATTAACTTATGAGTTAATAAAAAATATATTTTTAAATGTGTCCTATATTTAATATGTGATAGTATTAAATCAAAAGTTTTATATCATACAGATCCTAAATAAATTAAAGTAGCAACAAAAACTGTTCGGGTTTAAGCTTTTCCAAACATCACCTTACTTCATGCAAAAATATGGTAAGATATAATTTGTGATGTTAATAATTATTATCTAGATAATTCAAGCCTATCTATCTAGCAACAAAGCTCCATCTGCCAGATATCAATATGAACAATATTCAAGTGTAATTCATTTCCTGTTGTTTTTATTGTTTCCTAAACTACATTTTCTCCACAACCAATCATTGACATTGACAGTTGATTAGAGAGTGATTACTAAATAGTTATCTTGTCTTTTGATTGTTTATATTAGTGTTATTGGTGAATAATTGTGTAAATAAATTTTATTTACATTATGTTTAGTATACGACATGATATTAATTTATGGTGAAACAAAATGCAGCTCTTATGAAGCCTCAACGTACTTATGGTAATCAATACCTACACAGATGGTTGCCATATTGAACGAAGGTGCCAAGAAATTTCTATGGAGATAGAAGAGCTAGTCAAACTGGTGTACTTTAGGTACACCAGTACGACAGTACATAAAATAATTAAAACAATAATTATTGTACTGTTATCATGTCCAATGAATGCCAGTGTGCACATTTTTCTCAGAGACCAAATTTCTGTGGTAGTTTTAGCAGCTAATTGTAATAATTTATCTATAAAATTCGTTACCCTAGACTTTTTACGTGTGATGGAATTTTTAATTTACATAAAATATAGTGTCCCATATGAATTAGACGGCTTCATTATAGTCATCTTTCTCTATCATACGAATTTCTATGACTTTCTTTATCGCTCTCATGTAACGGCCGATGAACCATGGGGACTTTCCGACCCTGTATATAAAATATTATTGTATTCCAGTGAAACTGAACATGTAGAGCAACTTCATAAGAATATTTTTGCTGTTGCTCAGGAAAGAAGACAAATAAATTCGTACAGTACCTACACTATTTCGAATATGGTAGTGGACATTTTGAAAACTTAAATATAAAATCTAATAAGCGCATTGAATTTCCAAGCGAATTTCATTTAATGCTATGTGTGTATGTTTTATGAACAGTTATTGTTGTAAAGTCGAGAAAATTTTCCATATTTGCTTGAGAATATCCACGAATATTCAAGAACAAAACAAAAAATGTGCATACCAATAATAAACAGCAATGCTGTAGTTAAATCAAATAGAAAAACTAGGTTGTCATTTTTAAATGGATAGATAAGGTCTACGTTGCACAAGAATTTTGTGTTTATTTTGCATGTTCCATTTTGAACATATGGCATTTGTACTGTAGATACTGTATATTTTATGCTTTCCCTTAAACTTAATGAAGTAACAGTAAAACAACAAAATGCAGTTGGGAAGGTTCTTGCCAACAAGTCATTAAATATCACTACACTCAGAACTAATATTAACTTTCCTGAATTTTTCTGGTTGTTCTATATGCCGATTTGTTTCGTCAAATAAAATTATGGGTCGCTGAAAATGTTCCTAATAGTCATAAAGTTTAAGAAGTCAGCAAGTTATACTATTTTATTTACATTAATCTCCTCTTATATGCGTATAATTCTTCATGATTATAATATTCATGAATCAAGTCATACATGTGTTGGAAAAAATAAAGTAAATTATCATATTGTCCATTATAAGCTTTTTCATCAGTACTGTATAAACGTTGAAACTGACTCAAACATTTTTCACTAAAACAGTTCCTTATACCCTTATAGTTAGGATTAAGGCCCCAACAGTGTAAATGAATTTCAATTAAAAATTGGTGAATTGCTTCAATGGTAGCTAAATACCATCTTGGGCTTCCTTTCTGATGTCTCCAAAATTGTGATATTCTATTCTGTATAACCACACATTTCAATTTTCGTATTCGTTCATCTTTATAGATACCTTTACTCTGATTCCAGGTACTATCGATGAATACTGCTCTTGTTATAGACAATTTTCTACCCTTTTCACTGAACTCATATTCCAACTGAGCATTTGGTACTGTTCTCATTAAAGTACTTCTATTGAATCCTTTTGGCAATTCATCCAATAAATCTTGCTTGTATTTCACTTCATTTTCATAATCACAGCCATCCACTAATCGACTTATACTAATAGCATTCTGGCTGGGAAAAATTAATACTACATTTTCTCCATTGTAATCAGGTATATCTGGATATGTATAAATATTTACATCATTCTGGGCTAATATCGCTGCATGGCCTGCAGTACTTTTTCCGTCTATTTCATGTTTATGCTTAATTATATCAATCTTAACTGGCAACTAAAATTTGTAATATAAAGCAAACTTGTATATGTAAAATAAATTAATACCTACTTGAACTGTAGGTAATTTTCCTTCTAATTCCAGTATTGGCACATAGCAAGAATAGCAGTAAAATTTTCTAGATTTACCACATTTCTGACAAGGATGTCGCCCTTCCAATTTATCCAATATTGAATTTTCATCAATTTTCATACCCTCGAAAGGATTTTTGTCCAAGTAACTTTGTCTGGACTCTTCAATTTTTGGATTAGACATTCTTTAAAGCATTAAATTATTTTTATTCTTATTAGTTCAAATATTTTTGTGTACATACATTTTCATAAAAATTAGGTTATGTGCGGCATTTGTAGTGTTGTCAAATGCATAGAAAACAAATTAATAAAAGAACATATAAGTAATTTTTGAATCCATAGCTCCCCCCAACACCACGCCACAGCACGCCACCGCGCCATTAATCCATGGCTAGAAATTGGCCTCAATGATTTGGGATCGAGGGGGATTATCCCTCTTTATCCTGCCTCATCTCGTGTAGGCCTGGACAGCCTTCGTAGGTGGGCCCCATCCGTCGTCTACCCCGACCGCAAATGCGGCCGGTGTAGGCGCTTTGTGGGTCCTCCTTTTGTCCTGGCTGGGCCCCGCCGGCTAGGGCCCTTTCTTCTGGCGCTCTTCTTGCTTCGCCGGCTCGTCTGTGTAAACCCCAGGGGTGGTGTCATGTTTATGTGTGGAATGGTTGGGTAGGGTAGTGCGGCTATGCAGCCTGGGATGCGCTTTGCTAAGGTGGCCCTTAGGCTAGCTCGGGAGGAGAGGGGTTAGGAGGGTATGGGGGGTGTGTATGTGTGTGTGTCGTTGTCTTCGTTTCTTGATCCTGGCTGTCTCTGAAACAGAAAAGGTTAGCGGGCGGAGGGGGGGGGAGTCGTTGGGGTGGTCACCCAGGGTCAAAAAGTTGGTGTCTAGGTCTTTTGTGTTTGTCGGTCACGTCGGGTACGTAGTCAACGGCTTGCCTGAGGAGGGGATTGTCATGTCTAGCGGCTACGTCAAATCGTTTCTCCGCGTTTTGTCTTATTGTCTGTGTAGCGTTTGTGTATTGTAAGTCTCGTAATATGTCAGTGTTTCTTACGTACCAGGGCGCGTCGGTGGCCGTGCGGAGGGCTATGTTTTCCACAGCCTGTAATGACTTTAAGTGGCTTTTTGCCGCGTGACCCCACGCCGTGGAGGCGTAGGTTAGCTGCGGTTGAAGTACCACCTTGATAAGCGTTCGCTTATTCCTTAAACTGAGGGTGTTTCCACCTTTGAGTAAGGGATAGAGCCTAGCCCTGGTGGTCTTCGCTCGCGCCACCGTCTCCACGATGTGCGGTTTCCACGTGAGACGCTGGTCCATCGTCACGCCCAGGTATCGTGTTTGTCGATTCCAGGAGATGGGTTCCTGGGATAGTGTCAGTCTGTCGAGGTTTTGTGGGATTTTTCGTTTGGTAAAAAGGATAGCCGAACTTTTGTTGGGATTAATTTTGACTTTCCACCTGTTGCACCAGGTTTCAAGTTGGTCTAAGGAGTTTTGGAGGAGGGAGACGGAATATCTAGGATCTACGGATTGGGATGTGATTGTCAGGTCGTCGGCGTATAAGTATATGTTGGTGTTGGGGGGATGTGGGATGTCGGAGTTGTAAATGGTGTATAGGTGTGGGGACAGGACGGTGCCCTGGGGGACACCGGCCTCCATGGGACGGGTGGTGGAAAGGGAATCTTGGATTTGGATGCGGAATTTTCGGTGGTGTAGGTAGGATTTTATGAGTTTGGTAAAGGATATGGGATATTGGTTGGTGAGCATTTTCATCAGTAGGCCTTCATGCCAAACCGTATCGAAGGCCTTTGCGACGTCCAGGAAGACAGCACCAGTGTACTGTCCCCTGTTGAAGGCCGCCGTGATGTGCTCGGTAAGGCGAAGGATTTGGAGTTCAGTGGAGTGATTGGGTCGGAAGGCGAACTGCTCGTCTGGAATGACTTGCAGTTCTTGGGAGTGGGTTCTTAGACGGGTTAGGATAATTTTTTCTACCACTTTGCTCATAGCCGGGAGCAGGCTAATGGGCCGGTAGTTGGATGGGATGGTGTGATCTTTGTTGGGTTTTGGGATAAGGATTATGTTTGCTGTTTTCCAGCGGGTAGGGAAGTGTCTTAGTCTGAGTGTCGCGTTTGTTATGTTTAGTAGGGCCATGAGGCCCTTGTGTGGTAGTCGTTTAAGTGTCGTGTTATGTATATTGTCGGGTCCGGGGGCTTTTCTGTTTTTAAGTCTGCGTATTGTCAGTCTTAGTTCGTCAGGTGTTGCGGGGGGGATTATGTCATTGTCTGGCTCTCTGTCGACGCGTCGGGCCGCGCGCTCAGCCACTATCTCGAATTCCTCGTCTTCGTCGGGCAGCTGAGGCAGTCTACACTGCAGTTCCAGGCTATCGGCGAAAGCCTCGGCCTTTTCCTGGTTCGTGTAAACCACCCCCACACTACCGTGGATTGGAGGAATTTTACGGCGAGCGGTCTGTCGCAGGGCCCTCTGCGTTTTCCAGAGGCTGTTGTCTTGTGGATCCAGCGACTCCAGGTGCCTAGCCCAGTTATCCTGGGCCAGTTCATCCAGAGCCGCCTTCACCCGTCTGTTAAGTACGTTTAAGTCATGTCTGTGTCGGGGGAGGCGGGTGCGGGTGGCAAGCCGTTTCGCACGTCGTCTGTCACGTATTAAGTTTTTTATGTCATCGGGGAGGGTGCCCCGGGGGTTTGTCAGTCGGGGGACAATAGTCTCCGTCGTAGTCTGAGTCAGGGCGTTTTTAATGTCAGTCTCAAGGGAGAGGATTGCCGCCTCCAGATCATGGGTGGTTTCGATGACTGGGAGCGCCATGTTTCCTTGCATTACTGTTCGGAAACGCTCCCAGTCAGTGAACCTCCTCGTGAAGGTGCCTTCATATCTCTGTCTTCGCCCCAGATCCAGAAATATTGGATTGTGGGCGGAAGACCCTTCGTATTGGGTGGATATTTGGGCATTTAACGGTATAGATTTTAAGAGGGCAATGTCGATAACGTCGGGGCGTCCTACGGGTCCGTAATGTGTCGGTTCTGTCGGTCCGAGTATAGTCAAGTCGTCGTGTCTGTCTTGGTAATTCAGCAGGACGCGACCTCTTGTGGTCGTCGTCCCGCTGTGCCATATGGGGGACTTCGCGTTGAAGTCCCCGATGGCAATTGTCTGGGGCCAGGAAAGGATTTTGTCTAAGTCATTGTCAAGTAGTGGTAGTCTGGGTGGGTGGTAACAGGACACCACCGCAACGTCTCCATGCCGTAGCGATCTCACCGCTATCGCCACGGCCTCTGTGTTTTGAGTTTGGAGCCGCTGCAGCGGATAGTGGTCGATGCACTTCTTTACTATGAGTGCAACACCACCCCCGTTACGGTTTCTGTCATGTCTGTATATGTCATAGTCAGGGATGGAGGTACGGGATGCCTCGCTGAGGTAGGTCTCCTGGACAGCCATAACGTCTATGTTTAGACGGTTCAAGATGTCCACGAGTTCCGTTTTTTTGGCCCGGAACCCGTCAAGGTTCCAGGACGAAATTCTCAGCGAGGAGGGTTGGGAGGGCCGACGAGCCATTAGAAGTCGAATAATTTTTGCATATTCGACACCATGGTCGTCAGCTGGACGCAGATGTTCTGAAGACGCTTTGTTGCGTCAATCAGTGCCGCCGCCCCCGGTTGGGAGGGTGTCGTGTCTGTGTGTGCGTGTGGTGAGGTGTGTTTTTGTTTTTGTGTTTTTCTGGTCATGTCAGCGTATGTGCGTCCGGGGGTTGTGTTTGGCGTGGGTAGGAAGGGCTTTCTGTGTGTTTGTGTAGTGTTTTGTGTCGTGTGTGTGTTTGTGTTTTTGTGTTTTTAGCTTTGGGGTACTGAGGGCACCCCATATATAGCTGGCGGGGTGTGGCCCGGCGCAATTTGCACACCTGGCGGGCGTGTCTTTGGCCTTTTTGCATA